CTACATTTATCAAAGTTCCCGGAATTCATTCAGAAAATTCAAAATAAAAGTTTTATTCATCAAAGTGATATTGTCCCCTTCAAGTACTCCTCATCGACTGCAACGCACTTATGCCAGTGCTTGATCCAGCTCTCGAAACATTTCTGGAACTCTATTGTCGGTATAGCCATCAGAGCTGTCTTCGATTTTTCCATTACCTCCTTTCGGCTGTTAAAACGCGTTCCCTGTAATGGTTTTTTGACTCGATCGAACAGAAAAAAATCACTGCTGAAACAGTTTCCCAACATTTCCAAGGTTTTCACACCATTGAATCCATTTTTAACGCAAAATTTAATACAAACTCGTTGTTGTAAATTCAACTCCATTTTTAAAACTGTAAAAAATCGAAAATACGTGTAGAGGTAGATGTGCTCAAGACGGCATAACTTTTACAAATGTCAAACTATGGTGATAAAATTTGATGGGAATGTCAATGATAGATGTGGCAACCTAATCAAAGAAACAGAACTCAAATCAGCTGACTCAGAGCATCACTTGGTGATAATTCCGGGAACTTTTTGATCAAGATGATAGCTTAATATTTATAAAAGTTACGCCGTCTTGAGTATATCTACCTCTGCGATTTTTTACAGTTTTAAAAATGGAGTTGAATTTGCAACAACGAGTTTGTATTAAATTTTGCGTTAAAAATGGATTCAATGGTGTGAAAACCTTGGAAATGTTGGGAAACTGTTTCGGCAATAATACTCTAAAGAAAACAGCCATTTATGAGTGGCATGAATGCTTCAAAAGTGGTCGTGAATCCGTCGAGGATGACGAACGCAGTGGCAGGCCGTCGACATCGAAAACCGATGAAAACATCAATAAAGTGAGAGAAATGTTGATCAATAAATTAACCGCAAATTAACTATCAGAGAGCTGGCAGAAGATTTAAACATTGCTTATGGATCCATTCAGGACATTGTAGTTAATATTTTGGGTTTGCGCCGTGTTGCTGCAATGTTGGTCCCGAAGAAACTGACTTTCATGCAAAAAAGGGACCGCGTTGTCATCGCCAAAGACATAATTTCCAAGGCTGAATCCGACCCAACATTCATCAAACGCATCATTACTGGAGACGAGACGTGTTTATGAGTACGACACGCAATCCAGACATCAGGCGAGTGAATGGAAAGCTTTAAATGAACCAAGACCAAAAAAAATCACGTCGTTTTCAATCGAAAAAGAAAGCGATGCTCACGGTTTTCATTGATTACAACGGTATTGTGCATCACGAATTTTTGCCAGAAGGTCAGACAGTTAATAAGGAGTATTATTTGGGCGTTATGAGACGTTTGCGTGAAGTAGTTCGCCAAAAAAGAAAGGATTTGTGGGCAAACAACTCGTGGATTTTGCACTATGATAACGCACCGTCGCACAGTGCCATCATTATCCGTGAATTTTTTACCAAGAACGAAATGAATCCAACAGCCATCGAATTCACCTGATATGGTCCTGATATGGTTCCCTGCGATTTTTTTTTGTTCGATCGAGTCAAGAAACCATTACGGGGAACGCATTTTAACAATCGAAAGGAGATAATGGAAAAATCAAAGACTCTGCTCTGATGGCTATACCGACAATAGAGTTTCAGAAATGTTTCTAGAGCTGGATCAAGCGCTGGCATAAGTGCGTTGCAGTCGATGAGGAATACTTTGAAGGGGACAATATCACTTTGATGAATAAAACTTTTATTTTGAATTTTCTGAATGAATTCCGGGAACTTTTTGATCAAGACAGTACGTATTACATTTAAATAATTATAATTTTTTCTATCAAGTATCACAAGATTCGTTAGCATTTGTTTTATCCTTTTCAAATGTTAATTGTTTTTTTATTTATTATCAATAGCGCTACATACTTTATTAATGTCTTAACTACTCATAAAACGTGAGACATAAACTAGGATATATATCTATAAAAATTCATTCAAGCGTAATATCATAACAATTGTCTTATGGCTTTTACAGGAGATAATAAATAGCATTAGATTGAAAAAAGTCAATATCATGCTTAGACAAAATTAAATCCCAAAAGGATAAAGCATATGGATTAATTTGCAATTAGTACATGGGATTCTAATTGTGGATAATTGTCATTATTTCATTTAATCGAAATTAAAACAAATAAAACAATATCGAAATGAAATAAAATCATCCATAATCTTTATGGACAATCATAACTGCTAAATATTTTATTAATTTGATAATCCTTCTGGATAAAAATATGAATTTTTCTCTCAAAAGCGATCCAAGGCCACAACTAGGCCTTAATCTACGTATCCATAAATAAAATCCCGCGAAAAGAAAGACAATCTAAGATTATCTATGTCCATTTTGTTGTTCAATACTTGTTGGTTAAATGGCATACAAATACATTATCTCTCAATCCTTACAGTGTAATACTCACAAAGATCCGAGAGGAACTGTAAAAATTAATTCTGAAAATATTAAAACGTGTTTGTGTCTCATGCAGCAAAAACTAATTCAGTTAAAATACTAGCGGACCACTCGGAAACTATGAAAGAAACGCTAGAAGGAACGCTGGTACTTATTAATCTTTGGATTATTTTGCAATTTGGACATATTTGAATATCCTCGTGAACAACCTAGGGCGCATTTCTCTTGCCTATATGCTTTAGCCAAATATAGATAAAGATATTGAAAAAATATTTTTTCTATATCTTATTTTCTATATATTATTTAATGTATAATACATCTAAGTTTGTAATACGGGAGAAAATGTATCTATTGTTAATGAGGGGAGGGTAGCAGTAAGAAACAGACGATATTTACAAGTTCAAAATTTTATTTAAAAGAGTTTATTTAATTTATTTAAAAGAGATATTACATGAAGTATTTTATTTTTTTGAAAGAGTACACGTTTGAACGCATACAACACGAGAATTTACGTTTACAATTTATGTTTACAATGAAGAAAAATTTTATGAAATACCTGTACGATTAATCGAAATTTCGCTTACAATCAGAGGTAAACAGATTTAAGAAACTGGCTAAGATCATAGCCATTACATATAAAGTATAGAAATACACAGCAGTATTGTCCACAAGTTTGAGAAAATGTTCCTTGTAGCGTTATCGTATTCCATCGATTTCGATACGTTTTGTCGAAGTCGTAAGAGGAATCTTGAATCTAAGCGACAAGCCATAGCTTATGAAATACGTCCCTGTTCATCGATGTAGAAAGTGATCCAGTGTTTGCCAGGCAATGGCAGTCGATCTCGTCCACACTCTCGGCAATCGATTGACAGGACAGACCCCCGGACACTGAGATGATGTAATATGTTTAAAACTTCAATGAATTCATTTCTCGTCGTCGGAGAGCGTGAGAGAGAAAATGTTTGCATAAATTCAAAATGTATCTCTTTTGCCGGCGTGTGCGATGTAAAGTTCTCAAAAATGCTCGATGATTGTGAGACGCTAGTGTTAGCTTTATCTTTATCAGTCGGCGAGTCGGATTTTGGAAGATCTTTTTTCTCCTCGTCTGTCGCTTGTTTGTCTTCACTCTGGTTCGTCTTTTTTGTCGCAATATTTTTCCTCCACGCTTCAATGTTGCGAATGAAATCATGTTTCTGATTTTTAAATTGAATTGAAAAATTCCCACCGTCTGTCTTTTCGCTCTCGATGTCGCTCTCGCTCTAATTTTCTGAGGGAAGGCTATCGTAACTTGAAATTGCTGTTATTTAATATATAGGATCTTTCAATAGGGACGCTCGAAATTTGTTAAATCATAGTAGCTATGTTGTTAAAGTGACATCTGTCAAATTTGTTGTGAATTGTTTAGTAGTGTATGGCAAATCACCATGGAAAGTTATAGTGTTGAGCAACGTGTGCAAATCATAAAATTTTATTATCAAAATCAGTGCTCCGTTCGAGAAACGTTCCGCGCATTACGTGATTTTTATCCTCGCTACAACCGTCCTGCCGAGTCAACTATTCGATGTTTGGTGGCTAAATTCGAGTCAACCGGTTCGATAAATAATCAGCCAACACCAGTACGTCGCCGAAACGCAAAGTCTGCTGAAAACATCGCTACTGTGCGTGAGTGTGTACGGGAAAACCCGAGGCGGTTAATTTCTCGTCGTTCACAAGAACTTGACTTTTCTGCGACTTTAACTTGGCGAATTTTGCGTCGGGACTTGGGTCTGCACTCCTATAAAATTCAAATTGACTCAGGAACTTAAGGTAAACGACCATAAATAACGCCGTGTGTTCGCTGATTGGGTTCTGGAGCAATTGGAAGTTAACCCAAATATCGCCAAATCATCTTTAACGATGAGGCCCATTTTTGGATGAGTGGATATGCGAACAAGCAAAATTGTCGAATTTGGGACGACCACCTATCCACGAGAAATAGCTCCAAATGCATCCCGAGAAAGTCACTGTTTGATGCGGATTTTGGTCTGGCGGAATCATCGGTCCGTTTCTTCCAAAACGAAGCGGGCGTTGCCATAACCGTCAACGGCAAGTGCTACAGATCGATGATAAGCAACTTCTTGTGGCTTAAAATGGATAATATGCATATCGATAACATGTGATTCCAACAAGATGGTGCTACGTGCCACCGCATACCACGATGGACATTCTGCACGAGCGATTTGAGGGCAAGGTTATCTCGCGCGGCGGCGACGTGGACTGACCACCGAGATCGTGCGATTTAACGTCTTTAGACTTCTTCCTTTAGGGCTATCTTAAATTGCAAATTTATACGATTAAACCGCAAATAATTGATATGATGCTCTCAAAGTCAACATAACAAATGCTATCCAGCAAGACAGATTTATACGAGAAAGTCATCGAAAATTGGACCGCCCGAATACGTATCACCGAAGCCGCGGCGGACATTTGAGCGACATTATATTCCATACTTAATGCCATAAAATATTCTTTCAAATAAAAAAAAATTGAGTGAATATCTCACACACAACTTGTTTTATTTACATTTAAAAATCGAGCGTCCTTATTGAAAGACTCTTTATTTTTATAATACAAAAATATAGTAAAATATTTTTTTTTAATTTCTATATTTTTTTATTATAAATAACGTGTGATTATTTTATAAATGGAACTTGTACTCGATAATCTTGATATCCTTCTCGTTATTATGATTCTCTTAGCATCTTTTCTCTTTTTTTCTCTAAGCGTGGTTCAAATTGTCCAACATCCTGATGATCTTTATTTGATTATACTAATTCATTATAATTTCCTTATATTTTCACGAAACTCTTAGGAAACAAAATCAGGATATTTAATTTAAAAGATATTCAATCTTCATCTTTTAATTAATTATATCATTTTTTATTTAAAAAATCTTATTATTTATTAATTTTAATTATGAAGTTATCTAATTTTTATGTGTTACTAATAAAATTATGTCTATCTTCATAACGATAAAAAAAATTTTTTTAATTATTCATTCAGTAATAAGTTAAATTTGCTTTTGCCATTATTATATCTCAATTCTTTACTTTTAAAAACCAAACTTTCAAAATTAAAAATTTTTAAATTTAATAAAGATAACTAAAGAATATATTCTATGTTACTCACTCGATCCAGTACGACAATGTGATCCGCCCTAATTGCAGTTAATGTGTGACTAGTATCCTCGTCTTGCCTTGTGGAGATATTCAATGATGCACTTCTCATAGAAATGCCTAGTAGTATCCATCATAATGATCAAGGAATCGTTGAGCAAATAGATATCCGCTTGTCTATAAATCTCATGAGATTGATTCGCGCTCTTTGGCCATCGGACAAAGATACACCTCTATCACCGCTGTCATATTTGCGGAAATTGTCGGAAATCCTTTGTTAAAGCGCACACATTTGCTGTCTGAAACATTTGCCAATTAATCAAAAAGAAACTTTAACAAACGTTAAAAATTTCTAAATTCGGAAATATTAGACATTTTTCTTTTATCTAAATGGAATCACATATAGATTAAAGATTTAGAAAAAAATCATAACTTGCTAAAGTATATCTTCTTTTATATCCAGTCACAAAGACATAACTCATGTTTAATGCATAAGATCTAGAAAGATCTAAATGTAAGAATTTTTATTACTTATATATAA